AATGATCCAACATATGCCCATAAACGGGCCTGCCCTATCTAGAAACAAACAATGGTATCCAGCAACCAAGCTATTAAAAGTTGGGTAGCAGTTTTAAATTCAAACTATGTATTTCAATCAATAGAAAAAAATTTAAATTTCAAAGATAGTTAAAATTTTAACCTACATTTATTCACCAAATTTAAAAATGTTAAAAAGTTAAAATATATCATATTGATATCCGGAAAACGAAATCCAGAAGACCGAGTAACTAAACCCATAGTTTAATAACAAAGTAAATAAACCAAAAATATACAACTCAGGGTCTAACACAAACTTGAGATTTTAACACACTCTCAGACACTGAAAATTAAAAGAATTGGAGTTACTTCAAACCAAAATTAAAATAAAAGGCCAAGAAAAACACAAACGCATCTTCTCACACTCGTAGAAGATAAAGAAAACATTAAACAATAATGCTTGCTTTTTCTCGACTTTATTAATGAACTCAATCAAAGAGTGGGCAAATGCAATATCTCTTGCATTATATTATGTAAGCAAATTACAATATTTATAGTTTGTCCTTGTAAGCTCTGTAAGTTGACATGTTTCAAAGAGGTATCTATTGTAGCCCTTACCTCACGATTTTCATTACCTTATAAAAAACAAATCTCTTAAAGTACCCTCGGAATCGTCCATGTCTAGTAAGGAAATAAGTTGTTGGATGGCGTAAGTTTATATTGTTACGTATTCTTATTTTTTCAGCTTATCAGGTTCAATGTTTCTTCTAACCTTCTTCGGAAACATACAATGACCTGACTAGAACAGAGAGCTTACTAAAGCTATGTTCACTAATTGTAGTAAGTAGACAGGATACAGACGAAGGGTATACAAAAACCCTTTATTTTTTCTTTATATACATGGACTTTCGTACTTCGGAATACAATGACCCTCCACTCGGGGTCTAACTTAAAGATCAAAATAAACTAACTCTAATTTAACTTTAGAATAAGATTGGCCTTATAATAAACAGGAAGTATGTAGCACAGAGACTGTGAACACTACAATACGTTTAATTTATCAAGAGGATTAAAACCTCTGGCCTGGAAGGCAAAGTAGCAACTGCGTAACTTCTAAGGTAAGCGGCCTGCTTCGAACTCACGTTCCCTCTCTCTGCTTGCCAAAAAGGCCACACTTAAATCTTGGGCGCCAGACAACTTTGCATAAACTCCTTCACGCTTATAATTCTGGCCGGAAGTAGAAAATAAGAAGTGATAGTAAAGATTTAAAATAAAATAAACGTTAGTAAAACTTAAGATCCTTACAAGCTTTAAAGTTTCGTAATAATCTTTACTTTATTCAGAAAAATTCCATTTTTCTTGCCTTTTTTATAATAATGATTTTTCGTAATTCTTATGTTTCGCCGCTTTGATGCTTGAACATAGACAGGATTCCTGGCGTTGCACAGTGCAAATTTATTGATCTGAAGGTATGTCAGCTCTGTTATTTATAAAATGGCTAAGATTCCATGGGTGCATTATTGGACTCGGTGGAAATTAACAGTATGATTTATTCTTATTTCTTTAAATTGAAATTTTGTTTCGTTGACTAAAATATTATTACTATCCGGATCAAGGAAGGCTTATCAGCACATAAATTTATTTCATGAGTGTACTGGAAATATCTTTTGATTTAGAATAGTGCTCGAGAGATGACCGGGAGCCTTTGCCAGACAAACAGAATTTATAATTTTCTGTTTGTATCTCTCAGCTCACTGTTTTTCTCCCGTAATAACAGATAAGAGGGTCCTAGCTCACACCACTAATGAATCTAGATCCATTAGTATAAACTCGTACTAATCTCACTTGTCTTAGATTTTATTTAATCATAATTAATTAATATATTACCTTTCATTTTATATTTAATTTGTATTTAAAATTTCAAAAGGATCCTTAATTACAAGTTCATGTTTTAAATTATCTAATATTTTCAATCTCAATTTTAAATAAAATTTAGAGGATATTATAATAAATAATAATAAAGTTTAGAGGAAATAAAAAGTCAGCACACCAACCAAAGCATACACAACATTCGTCGAGAGTGTTCTTGTCAATGCCAGCAGCCACCTCCTTTCCACAGTATTTAGTTTCAAGGTTGCGACACCTTAGATCCCAAGACCGAACTCTTTATTGATTTATAGGTATAATAACTTACATAAATGTATGTATTTAAAAGAATTTTTGATTTCAAAAAATATACACAAAAATGAGCTTTTATAAAATAGTAAAATTGTTTTAGTTCTTTTGTAAATATAGTCAAAATGTTAACTAAAATTTCATTTTCATCGATGCAGATACTTTTCAGTTTTTTCATTTGTTTAATAAATATCTGGTTGAATTTGAACCTTAATGTCAAGCCAATTCTCCACATTTCGGAAAAAAAAAAAAAAAAAAAAAAAAAAAAAAAAAAAAAAAAAAAATCAGTCTTATCTCAGTTAAAAGACAGCCTTTATTTTATCTCAGTTAAAATACAGCCTTTGTTTTTCGTTCCATTCGAACAAGTCCTTCGGTATATTAAAACCTTTTTGAATCTTCTCTAATGAAACGTTTGAATTTATTGCTAAAAGATCGTCTACATTAAAAGTAGCTTCAGTATTATCGCAAAACTCCTGTGAAATCAGCTTACTTACAATGATGCCTCATCAGGATGGCGGAGCGCTACGTGAGCTCTGAGGATAGCTTCTGTAACCTTTATATTCTATTTTATATTTATATTACCCTTTGTGGAAATTATTCTTCCGTTTTTAAAATAATCCATTAAGAGCTGACATACATTTACTGGAATTTAAATTTCCTTAAAGAATCTGAGGCAAACTATCTCCTAATTCACGTTACACATGGGGAAAATCACGAAAACAAAAAATGCAGAAAGCTCGTTATCCTCGGTCAAACTACCAGTATCAGCGGTTACCTTTCAGTAAACACCCAAACCAGGTCCAACTACTAGTATTTAGCGGTCAAAACCACTGGGCCTCTGGTGAGCTTATGATAAAAAAAGAATTCGGAGCATTAAAGCACATATTCGAAAATATCGATATAGAGAAAAATATGAAGAAACTAAAAAAGAAAAAAAATTATCAATAAAAAGAAGTGTATGAGCTTAAAACCACTTGCGTAACCCGAGGATTTGATTGAATTACTTACATTATGGCAAAGCACAATAAGGTTACTTGCCTAAAGGAAGGATGCTTTTATAAAAGACTTTTTTTAAGAAAAACTGGATCATAATTATTTATTTATTTGAAGACATGACTACCCACTTAGCCAAATCTATGTTTAGCCATCAGGTCGTAATGGGGCCAGCTTTCATTCACTAACTAGCAAAGGCCATCCATTGCTTCCTACGCATAATATTCATATATAACTCAAGAAAAGTAGGGTGGCTCATATTCATGTTATATACAACTAAAACTATGAAAACTCTCGTGCAACCAGACTTTTCCCATGGTACTTGGATCCGGTTTGAACTACCAGTGTATAGCATTTTTTCTGCTTAGTCGTTTAGTAGACCTAAAGAAACCTGAGAGCAATTTTAAGTGAAAATGAGATTGGACAGTAAGTTAGATTATTTGTTATGGCAAAATATTCGAAGGTTCTCCGCCTTAGAAACAAACTCAGAGCCTTGAAGACTTCACAGGATTTTAAGAGGAGTCTGATATGAGCATTATACATAAAACAATCACGAAACACCCATGAAGTTTACTCAATCTTTCGAAAATAAACTTGAGTTAAACAGAATTATTTAGTGTGGGATCTGTGACGATCATAGAGGGAGGCAATATTAAACATGTCAAAAGGTTAGTTTCATATTTTGTTGCTTAGATAGCATGATGCTGAAGCCAAACAAGAACCATTCTTGTCTAGAACGTTTGTTAGAGTCATAATCAAGAAACAATACAGCTTCAGCCCTAGCTCAGGATCCTTATGGGTTCTTTCCCTGCTCACTTTGCCTCGCCTTTATTAGGAAAGGCAGGAATTAGAGGATTTCAGGGAGAACATTTGGGCCTTGTGAATAGAGGAGTAGCTATAGCTTTCAGCACCTTGGGATAAAAGGAGGATTCGCGCCCTCGTCCTTTTGCCAAAATGTAATGGTGAAACTCAGTTTTGTGGATGCTGGGATCGGGTACAGATAGCCCTCCTTTATGACTGCTTGTGCGTATAGATAGTAATCAGAACACTTGATTAATAGTACTCACACTTTCTATAGTGATTTATGAAAAACTATGAAAATAACAAAATAAAACAGTGAACATAATTAGTTTGTCTCAACCTGAGTTTCTGGGATCTGAATAGACTGAGTACTAGGTGGTTTTGTGTTTTTTTCCGCCCTAGTGTAAAATTAATAGAGTCATTCTGCTCTTGATAGAATAAGTAACAGTACAGCTTCTAAGAATTGTTTATCGTTATTGGATTGCCCCTAACTGTGCTATTATGGCTGTGAGTTATTATGGTAAGTGGGAATTTAATCTAAAATTTCTGTAATTATAACTAGATTATTTCCAGGAGTCTGTCTAATTAGGCAGTTAAATAACAATTGCGAACTAGATTACTAGACAGATTGCTTGAAATTCTCCATTGGTTAGCGTCACTTCTGTTTTATGTTGTGAACTACAAATAGTAATAAAGCAAAAATTAGAAGTAACTTATTAAATTTGTTTTAACAGTCATAGATACCTCATGCTACCGTTAAACCACAAATGCGTGCTAGAAGGAAGGAGAAAATACCTTAAAATAAAAAAGGCAATGCTCTAAGATGTGAAATTCATTGTCACAGTGTGCAGCCTAGCAAAGACATTAGAATGAAATCTTTTAGAATAAGGTATATAATTATTTCTTGATTTAGCACTTTTCTCTTTGAGGGATACTAACATAAGCAAATCTGTACATTTATATTTTAATTTTGACTAAGGATATTCTGAAAGCAACAATATCATCTGGCACCAAGCAAATATAAAATCTAACCTTCTTCTAAGGTAGTGACTTGTAGCTCATGAGATGGCGGTCCGGTTCCAGCAGCATTAAAAGCTTTGACAACAACAGTATATGTGGTTGCTTTCAGCAGACCTTGAATAAGAAGAGATCCACCACGTCTGTCCGTCGTCTCGACTGTCTGGTAGGTGAACGGTGAACTTGAGTGGGCCACTTTGTTACCCACATAGTATCCTCGTAGAGGGCCGTTCCAGTGATGCCTCTGAGGCGGCTAAATTATAAGGATTGTTAAATAATATGTTTTTAAAAAAGATAAGAAATATTTTGTATACAACATATCTTTCAATTTTTTTAAGCAAATAGAACAGAAACAAAAGAATAAACTGATTTTTAAATTAATATTAATTAACATTGAAATAATGACTGCATTTCAGAATTATTTTGTTGCTCAAGCAATGATGATTTCAAATAGCCAGTATTTAATTTTGATATGAGTTCCACGGCTGTTAAGAGAAAAAGTTATGTTATGTATAAATATTATGAGATTTTAAACATACATAAAACAAGGTAGTTTTATATATATAAATGAATAAATGTAAAGCTGCTGAAAGCTTAATCCATTCGTGGCTGAAAATAGCAACAAGTGGTGGTAAGAAAGCAAAATAAATTAAAATAAATAATACGTTTAAAATTCATTCAGTTCCGAGTCAAACATGTACAAAAACTAGAAGCATAGTGGCAAATTGCAAGATAAGCGGGGCAAAATTAAAAATGAAATAAGAAGTTTACATTCTTCGTTGAATCGGCATTAGGACGTTGGTGCAACAAAAGAAGTAAATAAATCAGCCTGTTCCTGAACCAACAAAAACACAAAGCTTAGAATACTGTTAGAAAAAGAAACAAAGTAATCTGTGCCTTAATGAGTCCAGTCCCTAGAGGCCGAAGCAAGCAGTGTAAAAAACTACAAACTTTAAGCATTAAAAGCATAAACAAATTAAAAAAATATATATTATTTTGTGCAGAGCTCCCCCACCCCCCAAAAAATATTCAAGTACAAGCAAGCCAATATACGTAAAAAAATAAAAACATAAGTAAATTTTGAAACCCTAGGGACAGGATTAAAAATTTTTTAAAAGATTAATAGTATCAAAATCTAGAAGAAAATCTAGCAATAGTTTTCCATTTAAGTGGACCAAGTCCCCCCCCAAAAAAAAAAAACATGTAAAGCAAAAGCAATCCAACATATGAAAAAATAATAAATGAAAAATTCGGTCTAAAAATATAAAATAAAAGTAAAGAGGAATTAGTTTTAAAATCTGTAAAAATAAGCAACAAAAGTTCTGAGATGAAAAAATATATTCGTCCTGTTTTAATGGCAAAATATTGTTATGAAAAGTGTGCTGAGAATATAGATCTGAATATAAATAAACTATGAATTTTAAACTGATGTAACCCAGTGACTTTCAATCACGCGGTCACATCAAGGCAGAGCTCAGGAAATGGTAAATCCCAACAAGGAAAAAAAAAAAAAAAGATTTAAAAAAATAGTAACTGACAAAATACATAAAGATTAATAGATGCTAAAAAGGACAGACAGTGAAGGAGTCAACGATTGGACGGGAGTTTATCTTCTGGCTTTAGGCCTTTACATGACTGTTAATTCTTTCTTTTATGAAGTGAATAATAAAATTTGAATGCATTTTAGCAATAAAATTTTCCATTGTAATATAAATATACATGCTTTTATACGGTATTTCTCCCACCTTCTTCGCGTGCTTTTGTGGTGTAGTGGTTAGCACACTAAGCCAGTATTTCAGAGGTCCGTGGTTCGATTCCCGGCGAAGGCGTTCCTAATTTTTCATCTTGCCTGCTTCCAAAAAATACCTACAAAAAATGTCTTTACACCTTCAGTGTAAAGATTAGTTTTAAAGGAGAAGAATATAATATTTAAGAAGCTAACAACGCTTAGATTTATGCCATTTTGGTTATAATGATTAATATTAATAAAAGTAATTATAAAAACCTTCTATTGTAATATTACATATGGTGCATTAAAAATTAATAATTTGTAAAAGCAGAAAACATCTAATAACTTGGATTATAAATCCTCAAAGAAATCCAGTACTGACCCCCATCAAATTATGTAAAGTACCGGTTAACTTTATTTCAAAGCATGGAATAAGTTGAAGTACTTAGGTAATTTTTGGAATCAGAAAAGATGAAAAATTAGCAACGCCTTCGGCGGAATCGAACCGTGGACCTCTCAATTACGCGCTGAGCGTGCAGACCACTACACCACGAAGGCTCGCTAACAAGGCAGGAGACCTTATAAACAGATTTTCATTTATTATTTTTGTTATTTTTTCATATGCTGCATTGCTCTTGTTTCACATATTTTTTGAGCTCAATCCACTTAAATACAAATTATTATTCGATTAAGCTTTTCTGCCTGTTTATTTAATTTGATTTTTAAGCTTGAGAGTGAGGGTGGTGTGTGTGTGTGTGTGAGAGAGAGAATGCATACATACACAAGTTTATTTCATGTAGCACTTTTCTGCTTATGTAAAATTCTGTCCTATACTACTACTGTTTATAATTTTGATGCTATAAATATCTTAAAAAAATTTTTAACCTGGCCTGGCTTCGAACCTGGTTTCAAAATTTACATATTTCTATTTTTTTCATGTATTAGAGATTGCTTATATTTGCATTTTCTGTTTTTTGGGCTAGGTCTGCTCAGAATAATATTCTTATGTTTCTTTAAAATTGTTTGTGTTTTTAAAGCTATAAGTTCGCAATATTTTGCATTGCTTACTTCGGCATGTTGGTTGGGTTTGGACTGATTAAGATACAGATGACTTAGATTGTTTCTCTGAAATTATTTTAAGTTTTAAATTTTAATTTGTGTCTTTGTTGATTCAAAAACAGGCTGATTTATTGACTTCTTTCGTTGCACCGACTCCCTGATGACGATTCAGCGAAGGATGTGAATTTCTTATTTCATTTTTGGTTCTAGCGTAGAAAAGTATGCCCTTCGATTTGGCGTCGTCAATTTTTTGTTACGTGCCAATGTTTTCCTGAAGTTTAATATGATTAGAACGTCTTAGTTTCAGTGATAGAGGACTAAGTGATTTGTAGTACGTGTATCACATCTTACAAATCACGTATTTTGAATTTTAAGTGCATTTTGAATTCGGTTTTCATTGGCTGGCTGGTTCTAACTTTCATTGTCCCGTCACTTCTACAAACAAGTACGTCTGTTAAGATACATACTATTTTTTCCATGAATTAGAAAGGTAATAAAGCTGTTTCATGATAGCTTCTTCGCGCCATGCTTGGTGTCATAAAAATCATAAAAAATATCAAGAGGTTACCCGATTGTAAACTTTTACCTCATTTTTAATTTTGGCATATTTTGGCAATTTGATTTTGGCTCCCTTTTCCATGCAACTTACTACAGTGCTTATGAGTGTTTCCGAATTGTATATGAAATGAATTTTAAACGTATTATTTATTTTAATTTTTTTTTCATTATATATAGAGAGAGAGGGAGGGTGGTGTGTGTGTGTGAGAGAGAGAGAGAGAGTGCATACATACACAAGTTTATTTCATGTAGCACTTTTCTGCTTATGTAAAATTCTGTCCTATACTACTACTGTTTCAGCTGCTCCACCAGAATATGTAAATAAGAGAAGTTCTAGAAAAGAGCACGTGTCTAAATCAGGAGAACTGGTAAAACCCGTCGGCGGTAAAGAATTCATGTGGTTGTATTCGAAAGGAGCAATACTTCTCTACGGGTGATGAGTTTCTCCTTTGATGATGAGTTTTAGGTAAATTAGTTTTGAAATCTTACAGCATTATCATAAAATTTAAATTATGAATTGTAATTTCTTGTTGGATGTTATTTCCTGAGAGATGTGTAAATAAATTTATGTTCATTAGTTTGTACTTCGAGTTGATGGCAAAATATATTTTATTTATTTTTTACCATTGTAATAATTTACTGTATTAACATCGCAGTAAAAGTCAGGAGAAGAAATTCGAATTTGCCTGAATTGCAGTTTATTTCAATTCATAATTAACACTTTTTCGTTATTTTGATTCACGGAATAATTTTTAATAATAATGAGTAGCTAAGCATTAAAAGCCTTGCTGTTTCTATTTTAAATTCTAGGATATTGTATTCTATGATAAGTATATTTACATTGTTCCTACATCATTTTTCCCATATTAAAAGCATAATTTCCCTAAATTATGCATATAAGCGTACTTTATAAAATTAATCACTTAATAAGTATGAAATAATAAATTAATCAACCAAAATTAATCTTGTACTGTAGAAAAGAAATTACTTAATGAATTTTAAATTCCTTAGAAGTCATTTGCTTAGGAAGGAAAGCTAGTTCATGTTTTCACAGAAGCAAAAACGTTGTGCAGTCAGACAAGCTACAGAGAATTAAACCATAAATGATGTCAGTATTTCACAGCTTCAGCCAATGAACCATAGGTGGCTATTAAAATGTGGTGAAATACATGCGAATTTGATTACTTCCATCAGCTATAACGCTTCCTGTAAATTTCTAAGCTATTGTCATATATTTAAGGCCAATAATACGCGTTAGTTTTAAAATGAAATTGAAAATTCATGAAATGATACTCATGTTTACATATGAAATTATATTTAAAATAAGTTGGCATTTATATATTTGCGCCACTAGCTTAGCACATACTGAAACGTTTCAGAATTCGTCACACGGTGGCCACCATGAGCATAGCAATTCTCCAGATTTTAATTAGTAACGTCGCCATTTACCTGTATGATTTTCTTTTGTTATGTTGTTAATTCCAAGCGTTTTTATAGAAAAATTGCGACTTTGTTTGTTGTTATTTTAAACTCAGTTTTAAAATACGCGCATGTGAAATTAGCTGGCAATAGAAGAAAATGCAGTACAATTTCTGCAGGAATATAATATGCCGTAAAATCACGAAATACTTTGAATCTGTTGTTAAAGTGATCGCCACAAAAACAATAAATGAAACAAGCAAAATTAATTTATGAGTAGATTGTTTTGTTAGTTTTCTGGATAACTATTTAATTAAAATGTTAAATATAGGTGTAATAATATGTATTTATTTATTTATTATTTTTTCGATATTGTCAACATTCTTTTCTTCTGTAATAATTGTCAGACTGCTCCAACGTGATTCGCTAATACGCAAATACTAATAACTGATTTACTATTGAAATAAAAAAAGGCTAATGAGGATTATTTAAAATGCATACCTTCCACGATACTCTTATAGACTTTGAACTTACTGGTTCAACCCTCAAATCTAGGGGTGCACCGTCTGGAGCTAAAATCAAAATTTATGTTTAATATTATGCAGGATTTCTGTAAAAAATACATATTGCAATATTAATTTATTCGTGTTAATTAAATTGCTACATTCATACTAAAGTGACCAGCACAAAAACAGTTGACCACGTCTAAAATCTGCATGCTGCAGATTGGGTGATAAAATTTATCAATTCTAGCGATTAAGCGCAGAGGTCACTTTAACCAGGAATCACTCTAAAATAGTTTTTAAAATTATCTGAAGAACAAATAACTATTAGTATTAAAATATGCGGTATTTACTTGTTAAAACAGTCATCGCATGAATGTTTTGGAGACATTTGGAATTCGCACGTTTTAGATGAGTCGCTTAGGTTTATCAATGTTGGCTCCTAAGCGCAACGACCGCTTCAACAAGCAAATACCACATACTCAATACTCGAATTATATGCATGGGGGTCATAAAAAAAAAACCTTCCCCGATATGTGAAACCCTAGCGACCTAATCGGCTCAACCAATCGCAATGAAATTTCAGATATTATTATTTGAAGATATACGCTTGACATTGTGATGATTTAAATACTATTAAGAACTTTCAAGGCTATGTTTATAGTGAAAACATTTCGAAATCTTCGAAATGCAACAGACAGCTTTTCCTCGCAAATTGATCAGCGCATTCAAAAACCATAAATGGTATTAGAACAATACACGTACGATGGAAATTGCCCGCGTAAAACATCTGAAAAGAAGCACATTGTAAAGGACCAGTGGCCACACAAAACAGATGAATAAAAAAGCTTTTATTGGAATTACAAGTTTTCAATGTGCTCACCTCCTCAGACAATAACGCATTGCATGCGCGAAATTATTCTGAATAATGACGAAAGTAACATCGCAAAAGGAATCCGTTTATCATATACGCATCCAGTTTACTCGAATGTTTTTACCAAACCACGTATAAAAAACCACGTTATACGAAACATGGGTCTTGTCATAGCTTTTGATTTCGCCGCTTGAACTACTTCGATGGCATTTTCCTCGTTCAGATAAAACAGCTTTATCAGTTCATTTCGTTGTTTCTCTGCAAGTGTCATCTTACACTTTCTGACACATATGTAGCACACTGTTTGAAGAAATAATCTTCCCACGCTGCTTATTAAAGTTTTTCCATAAGCAATGCTTTAAACACGATGTTCTGTGATTGTTGCTTCTCCTGTGTATCCCTGTAAATTATGCAAAGTGTGTCAACGCACCTTCTCTCCATGTTGTCGCTGGTCTTTGCAAATGTATTACACCGGCAATTTTCATCATACGTGTAGCGTTCCAACGTCATTTATGGTTTTTCAATGCGCAGATGAATTTGCGCTGGAAAAAAGAGTGGGTGTTACATCTCGAAAATTTGGAAATGTTTTTACTGAAAACTTAACCATATGAGTGGTTAGTTAGTTCTACGCACTGGCCCCCAGCCCACCTAGCAGGCGAAACCTGCCATAGGGCTATGAGGGGACAGGCCATGCCACAAAGGCATAACAAAAAACCATATGAGTGGTATTGTTTTAAACCATCCCAGTCTCAAACGCATACCTTCAAATAACAATATCTGAAACTTTATTTCCACTGGCTGAGCGGATAGGTCGCTAGGAGTTCACTGATCGGGGAGATTTTTTTATGACCACCCTGTACTGTAGAAGTTAAATGTGCGTATATTACATGATCATTTGTGACATCTGTTATTGCATTTTTAATAAGTTTTACCATTAAAGGAAAACGAGAAATAAAAAATTGCAGCGTAAGAAAAATTAAACCTATTGTTTTAAATTCACTTTTTTCTGTTTCTCACCTATTCTGATAAAACCACTAGAATAAATCAAAGCTTATATTTAATATAAATCTAAATTATTTTGGTTTATTTCAAATTTTTTATTTACTTTTATTAATTTCATTTTATTTATCGATTTATTTTTATTCATTTATTTATAATCTTTTGTTTACTTTTAACCTTGGCGCCGTTTTCACATAATCATAGAAAGCTGCGCCAAAGTTATACCTTATGCCAGAAATTAAACCATCCTGAAATATTTAATGCGATTTTTGAAATGTTATTACAGACACGTGACATAAACTTTATTTTCAAGTTATTTTAGTTCTTCTTTGTTGATGGGCTGCATAGGCATTTGGCCATATTTGAAATTGGAATGTTTTAGACTGGTATTATATGTTTGCCAGTTTCAGCAACTAAACACAGTTGCTGCTTTAACAAAGAAGTACTAAAATAAATAATCTGCTATCTTCCTTTAATAAGGGGCCCACCAGCGGCCGAGCGGTAACGTCGCTGAACACTGGTAGTTCGGTATGGAACGAATCCCGCGAACGGGCTGGCTGCATGGGCGTTTTCGTGGTTTTCCCCATGTGAAACGTGTATACGAGCCAGTGTCCCTTAGAAAGCCCTCCACGAAGGCATCCCTTCCCTTAGGCAGATAGCCCTAGTGTGCTTTGCCATAGTTAAATAAGCCAAAACCAAACTTTTAATAAGGCTTTTTAAATATATAATTCTCTTTCTCTCTCTCTCTCTATATATATATACGTATAAGGAAAAGTTTCAATAATTATTTAAAGCTGTAGGGTTTCCCTTAATTTAACAACTAGTTACTTAACTTCAAAAGACACTGGCAAAAGTAATTATATGGTACGAACTATGTTTTAGAATATAAGCATATATTGTAAGGATCTTAAGTTTTACTAACGTTTATTTTATTTTAAATCTTTACTATCACTTCTTATTTTCTACTTCCGGCCAGAATTAAAAGCTTTAACTTATTTATGCAAATTTGTCTTGCGAACGCCAAGTACTTAAGTTGTGGCTTTTTGCCAAGCAAGAGAGAGGAAGGAGTGATTAGAAGCAGGCCGCTTGCCATAGTAGTTTTACTCGGTTGCTGGTTGCCTTCAAGGCCAGAGGTTTAATCCTCTTGATAATTTTAAACGTATCGTAGTGTTACAGTTCTCTGTACTACATACGGCTTTTGTTATATACGGCCAATCTTAGTAGGCACTTGTTTATTAATCCAAAGTTAAGTTTAAGTTAGAGTTTAGTTAATTATTTTTATATCTTACGTTCAGACCACAAGTGGTTGGTCTCTGTATTCCGAAGTCCGGAAATCATTGTAAAGAGAGAAAAAATAAAGGGTTTCGTATACCCTTCCTGTGTGTATCCTGTCTACTTCCCAAATTTATTGAACATAGCTTTAGTAAGCTCCCTGTTCCGAGTCAGGTCATTTAATGTTCCCAAAGCAAGTAAGGAGGAACACATTGAACCTGATAGTGGCGCCCCGACGAAGAAGAATAACCATGGCCGAGTTTCAAGAAGAACCTGTGCTGCCTGCAGAAGCGGCTCAGAATCCAGAAATGCCAGCTGCCGCCCTGGAAGGATTTGGTTACATCGTCCAGACCATGCGCGCTTCGATGAAACCAGAAGCAACATTTAATGGAAACTCACCGGTAACCAGTTTTTTGGAAAAATTGGATGACCACTTCATGCTGTACCCCGTGCACGAGTTTCCAAAAGTTCACCTTAGCTACCAGCGCTTTGAGGGGCCAAGCGCTTAATTGGTTCAAATGTATAGGCAGAAGTCTCTTGGGTCAAGCAGGAAGTCCCACCTATACTTACGAAAATTTCAAGACTGCCTTAGTAAAAGCCTTCCCTGTCGTAAGGGATCGTGCGAAATTAGAAACGGAACTTTTCAGCATATATCAGCAAACGAATCGAAAATCTTTCAAGCTTTATTTTAAGAAAAATTCACGTCTTTAAACTCTTGTATGGAAACCGTCCGGATCCTGAGATAATTCAAGTGATTTTGCCGAGGTTACTTCCCCAAGTACAAGACTTTATTGAATTAAGGAATCCGACTACACTGGAAAAGTTATTTGAGCTAGCAATCCAGTTTGAAAGTAGAAGAACGGCGGATTGAAAGAAGACGCCAATATCAACAACGAAACCAATTTGGTGCGCCAAGACCACAGCAAACTCAAGCACACGGCTACGGAAGCAAAGCGAATCAGTGGGCAAGGAAACCCGAGCATTCCAAAAACAGCCGGCGAACGTCGACAGTTCAATAGCAAGCCACAAAAAAAGTCTCAAGGCCAGTGGAAAAAGAAGGAAAGCATGGAAAGGAAAAACAAGATTTAAACTAAAACGGATTTCTGCTGACGGGAGGGTGCGGAAATCCGAAGGCCAAGAAAACCCCTCTTCCTTCAAGTTAAATACAGTAATGGTGAAAAAATTTGACTCTTCCAAAGATTGAAGTGTTGGTGAATAATATCCCAGCCACCGCACTCCTGGATACAGGCGCGCAGTGTTCCTGTGTGGCAGAAGATTTTTTTAGGAAGTATTTTCGTAAATACCGCATATATAATTCGGATAATACGACAGTGTTAGCTGCGCAAGGAGAAAGATGTAAGTGCATAGGTAAATTACCGCTATGTACGTTCGTATCAAGGACGAACAAGTAAAGGATTATGTTTTTTATAGTAAAGAATCTGCAAGCACATGTCATTTTAGGGATAGATTTTCTTTCAGAGGCACAAGAAACAACGCTGGATTTTAATGAAGCGTCCCTTAAGCTGACGATGATGAAACCAGTTCGAGAAGAAAAACTGAACCGCCAATGTTAAACCTTGACCACCTGCCTAATGAAGAGCAACAAAAAATCCGACAAGTGGTAAGTGAATTTGCTTCGTTATTTAGTGATATTCCAGGATTTACTCAAGTTACTAACCATAGTATTCGACACCGGAGATTCATGCCAGTTCGCCACAAACCATACCGGTATGATAAGAATAAAGAAAAAATTATAGAAGTGGCACATTCCGATATGCTACGTAAAAAAGATCATAACGCCCATCTCAAGTAGTTATGCTAGCCCGGTGGTTTTATGTAAGAAAAATAATGACTATCCTGGTAACACATCCAAAAAGGTGGAGTTTCGCAATTGACTACCGTAAATTAAACTCCATAACTAAAT